TTTCGCCATTTTCCCACTATATAGCACACCTGCTACTTTTTCCGAACAAGTGCCCTAATTCACTTTGTTCTAATCATTTTCAATATTAAGATAACGTCATCCTCGAAATGCTAACGCAATCGAGCGCCTGTAACTCTATCACTTGCTTTACTGTCGTGAGTTTTTTTTTGTCGAAATTTAACTCTCAAAATTTTTACGAAGAAAATTCAGAATCAAGTTCTCGCATAATCGCCTTTCAGACTGTCCGTATCGTGAATTCCAATACTCTCGTTGAAAAGAAGGATGGTGTGATAGAAAAATGTCTACGAATGGGTAACTGCCAGAACCATCTCGGTATGCACTACTGTCTACAAGTTCTATGCGATTTTCTGAGAATCCCCATAAAAAATGCATTTTAAGGACTGATTCTTGGTGTGGTTTTCGGTACGATAGCTGTGGTGGCTGTGGTCGTCGGATACATCTTGAATCGTCGGTGGGTTGATCCTTTGGCTTTTTTTCTCTCCATTAAAGGCACCTTTTGAGATCGCAATCGGAATATGGTCTTCTTCGGTGCGGAGACCTGGGCGTGGCAGGAGGTTGGATCACCCAGTTCCACCATTTACAGCCCCTCACTCGCTTGAACAATTAGTGGAAAACGAACTGGCACTGCGCCAGATTCGAACCCCCTGGCATGACACAGCATCCGCAGCGAAGAAGACTGTAATTGGTTTGAAGAAGGAACATGTAGGCGCTAGCCAGTAAGGAAAGAAGCATTGGTAATGTTGAAAGTGCCCTGCACTGGGCTTTTGACTTCGAGCATTGGACGAGTATGCAGCAGGAGGCCATACGGAAGTGAAGCAAAAGTACATAAAGCCACGCAGTTATGAACGTGCGCGACACGTCTGTATGGGCCCCATGGGCTTACGCGGGGTCCGGTTATCGCGCTTTCAAGCTGCGAAAAAAAATCTACGTCAGTAGCGGACCAGGTCACCACGATTAATGGCCAGTGCCGCCAATACACGTAATAGTTACGTAACTTTGCCACTTCAAAATTGGGACATCATGTGGCAAACTACCCTACTGAGCATTGTTGCACGATGCTGGGTAATCTACTCCCCGTAATTCTCGTTTTAGTCGCGTTGAGCAGCGTTCAGACTTCGCGACGTCGGCGCAACAGAAAGCCTGCCAGATCGATCGCCGAAGCTGCCGTCGCGAAGTCTGAACGCTGCCTTCCGGCAGAGAAGAAGAGTATTCCCCAACTAGTTGACTGGGCAGACATAGGCGCAGAGAGCTACTCGACTTGAGAGATGCAGAAGCAGAAAGCGAGTCGACGAGCCACGTTAAATGGATTGGGTCCTGGTGTGAATGCAGCGTACGTAACCCCTCGTCACGGCTATTTTGCCATACTCGCCGCAGGGGTTAAATAACGATCCTCTATACCCTTGACCCACAACACTGAATGACCGACAGACACCTCGTATGAGTATCATCAGAACGTTTCGAAAAGCGTCACATTTGAAATAGCATCCATGGGTAGAGAATACCTCAGTACATAACTTTACCGCGACCTTCCCCATACAGGTCCTGCTGAAAAGAACGGAGAAAAATTGTTGATAAGAGGCCACAGAGTGGGGGCTGGCCGCTACAGACCGAACGAGCTGCACTTTTCCTTTTTCGTGACGGTACGGTTAGGCCAAGAGATATTCTGACGGACGATCGAGCTGACTATCTATTAAATTTCTTCCAGGCATCGTCTTAACATCTATCGTATGCATTGGAGAGTTACCAAAGACCAACTGAAGATCATTGAAAACAAGCAGGTTGTTCGTATTCGTGAATCGATAAAACATGATAAGGCTAATTTTAGACGTTATGTGCTTCAGGAGGAGTCACTCCCCAGCAGACTTAAAGGCAGTGGTGCGATAGCTGGGATGGGCGGTTACTGCCAACGTCACTGGTGGAAGGGCTGAGTGGGGTGTGGCCAAACGCCTCTCGCAGCCCTTCCACCAATGACGTTGGCAGTAACCGCCCGCCCTCAGTCATCGTGCCCACTGCCTAAAGCCATGTTATGTCCACTAGGCTGCACCCTCTCACAGAGAAAACGTAAAAGTCTTGCCTCAAAGCACAATACTTTATCGGTGCCCCCCCTCGAAAAGTTTAGGTTACTTGATCGCGTCAGCAAATGACGCGGTATGAGCAGTGCCTTGCCTCGAAGCACGTAGCGCCGCTAAGTGTTCACAACAACATTGAGATACCTTAGATATTTTCTACTGCAGGCAAATTTCAAAGGATCGAAAGCTGGTGATGGGATTTCTGGTAAACGACGTACTGTGGCCTCGTATGCATTACTTGGAAGTAATAAAGCAGAATTTATCGCTCTGAAGCACATGAAGAAGATCAAATGGACCAAGTTAGTTCTAGACTTAGAAACCAAATATAAAATAAAACAACTCGAGCACTGTAACCTTCGAAATACAACTATTCTGAGCCTAGATACGGACGGCATTTCGCAATCTGCCGTCGATCTTCGGTAGCGCAGTGGAAAAACAATGGCGCTCCGCTTGTTGAAACACCCAACTCGGGTGGGGTTACCTGCGCTCAGCTCGGGAGCACTGATTTGAGCAAGATTGGGCCTTAACTCTCCTACCTTATATTTCCTGACGCGAAACGGTACAAGGTCGTCTATTGCCCTCCTCTATATATAGCTTTCCCCACACAGAACTTTGAGTGTTTGGGTGGAAGTAAAATGTGTCCTTAGGGTCGTTGTACTCAAAGACCTGAGCCATGAACTATATATGTTATAGGAATGTCGCACAGTGTGAGGTGGCTTTCCTGTTTCCAATGCGCTATGTACTCCCCCCCCCCAATATACCTCTCCAGAAATGAACTAAGGAGTTG